CTTAAAAGGAATTTGACATGTTCCTTTGAAGTTTTAGAATTATTTTTCTTATTGCAAAGTATTAAAGAACATGAAATTCATTGGTTGGGCGCCATTTAAATAGGGTTCCATTTAGGTTTAGTTTGGATTTTGTCACCCCATATCCTGGCAAGGAGTTGGGCCCCTCTAGATCCTTTCGTCCTGCCCCTTCATGCATACATATGCGCTCATTTCACGCCTCGTGTTAATGGCTTCATACACACATCCACTTTTGAAGCAGGGTGCCAAATAACGAGGGGAAAATCGAGGGAAACCCGAGTTAGTGAACCGGGAAAATGGAGCCACAACAAACAGGCAGGCATGAAAATTAATGATATTTTAATGTAAAAACAATACCAGCCACTTAAGCCGCATTCGTATCGATGGCCCCAGTGTGTGTGTGTATTTCAATTTTCCGGGAAAACTCGCGATGCTGAAGCCCTAAGCCCAAAAAGCTGATGAGCAACCCCGAAAAATTGGTAAAGAATTCGCTCCCTTTTCTTGACTCGCTGGATTTGCGTTTTTTATTTTTCCACCGATACCACGGCGTATACGCAATTCAACTTTTCATATTAAAATTCAACGTAGTTTACCCACACAAAGCACAATGGGCCTGACTGTATACAGTGAACTACCGACGGATGGAATGTTCAAAAATCAAATTATTACTCTGGTGTTTTTTCTTTCTTTATATTTTTATTTTTTATATTTTTCCGCCTGCCTGTTGCAATGAAAAAAAAGGAAATATACAAAATAAATATGGAATATGGCTGGGCAGGGGATAAAAGGTGGCTGGAATATACATTTCAAGGCTGTAATTGTTTGCTCAGGGACTACCAAAGCCCCCCCCCCCTCGCTTTTTTGACGCTGCTTTGTTTGTTCGCCCGAGTCTTTTGTTGGACGAAATTGAAGTTGAAGCTTTGTGCAGCATTATCTGAGCATTGCCTACGGAAAAACCTTTCTACACAGGCAAAGAATAAAAATAAATACCAAGAAAATACAAAAAAAAAAATCAGAAACAGATAGTGCTGCAAAAGGTCTGCCAATTACGAATGGAAATGCAAATAACAAGGCTGCCCTCTCAAGGAATGCAGTCGGCGAATCAATAAATATATATATTATAAATTCCAAGCTTTATTATGACGACTATTATTATTTCCCTTCGCCTGCCTTACTTTTTGAACCTGGGCAAATCAGTGTTATTCGAAGAAAGAGCCTCCTCCTCCTGCCAATCATTGGAATTCCTTTTTAATAAAGTCCCAACTCTGGAGCTCCTGTCGCCCGGGGGCCGTTTTGAGGTGGAAACTTTGCCAAATCGGGACATGAGCTGGCTGCCAAGCAAACTTCGTCCATGAGCATAAGTGTAATTAAATTTACGCATGCCCCGCCATCTCTCTATAACCATCTTGAGCACCTGCCCTCCAGAGACAGGTAACCCTGCACCGGGAAAAATGGGGGACCCTTAATATGGAAAGAAAATATACTAGGTGATAGGCCAACATTTTATATGAGCTGTGAGCTGCGCTACTGGGATACATGCCCTGTTAAGTATTGTCAAGTATTTTAATCTTTAAATAATATACTACCCGTTCCAAAAATACAATAAACACCACCTATATAGGCCTCAATAAAGTTTAGGACCACGATAAAATTAGGAAAATATATAATTTAAAAAAAGCTTAAGAATATACATTGCCTTTAAAATTAACAATTTGATTTATATTACTATTTATTTGAACATTTTTGTGATAAAATAAAAAAAGTCAATCAAAAACATTCTGAAGCAGGTTTTTTTATTGATATTAAAAATATATAAAAACAAGGAAGAACGCTATAGTCGAGTACCTCGACTATCAGATACCCGTTACTCAGCTAAATGGAGATATGCAAGCAGCAAAGCGAGATTAAAATGCGCCACCTACCGGCGGTATACAGATTTAAGCGTTATGGGCGTTAGAGTGGGCGTGGCAATTTTTTTTTGGATCAATCGATAGGTATCGACAAGACCAATACATTTCAGTTAAAGTTTTTTATCTAGCATGAAAATTGTGGGCGTCACAGGTTTTCGCGGTTTGTGGGCGTTAAAGTGGGCGTGGCAAACTTTTTTTTGGGTCAATCGATAGGTATTGATGAGAACAATACATTTCAGTTAAAATTTTTATTCTAGCATTAAAACTGTAGGAGCCACAGTTTCGGCGGTTTGTGGGCGTTAGAGTGGGCGTGGCACTGTGCTGAAACAAACTTGCGCTGCGTAAGAAGCTCTGGAATCTGCACGCCAAATCTCAATAGCCTAGCTCCCATAGTTTCCGAGATCTCAGCGTTCATCCGGACGGACAGACAGACGGACAGACGGACATGGCTAGATCGACTCGGCTAGTGATCCTGATCAAGAATATATATACTTTGTGGGGTCGGAAACGCTTCCTTCTGCCTGTTACATACTTTCCGACGAATCTATTGTAGTATACCCTTTTACTCTACGAGTAACGGGTATAAATATAAACAAAGAGAAAAATAAAGCAGTCACATAAAAAATGTATATTTGAAAAATATTAGAGTATTAATAAATAACAAAGTATTTAAGCATGAGCAAGTACATGTACTTTAAGCTCTTTGGAACAAATAAAAAAAGTCAATGCAAAATATTTTAAAAATACTCCTGTTTTTTAGAATAATATTTTTAAAATACATATCAATAATTTTAAAAGTAAATTTTATATTAAATTTGATAAAATGAGGAAAATAAATTAGTTAAATAAAAAAGGGAACTCCTTAAAATTTAAATTTGAAAAATTTGAGAGGACTGCTTAATTAAAAAGTATAATATCTTTTTATTTATAGTCTACCTGGCAGTCCTTTAATACAATTAGAAACAGTTAATGAAAAATATTTCTAAAATACTCCTGCCTTTCAGTAAGTTAATTACAAAATGTATTATTTTGTAACTTGAACTGCGTTTTCCTCACTTTATTTGGCATGTGTGAGCTTGTACAGCCTCTCGCATATGTCAGTTAAGTCTAGCGCGTTTTTAACGGCTGCTTTTCCTAGAATTTCCCCATCCCAGTGAATTATTTTTGAAGTTGCTTCTAAGAGCGCTTTGATTTTCTCACGCCGATAAAATCAAAGACCCCAAAGACAGACAGCTAGATTTACGGATTAAGAAGGGCTCGATTTCGACACTCGAAGAGGGTCTGGCAGTTGTTCTACTCCAGAGATTTGGCGCTAATTCACTTTGCCGCGACTAACCCAATTAATTGCTGACAGTTTTCGCCAGCCTTGTATAGCCGATACGTGCCTTCGATTTGGCCCATACTTATTGGGCCACAAGCCAAAGGCGGCTCAAATGTATGCGCATAAATTACGGACTCGGGGATACGAAATTTCCGGCTGCTTGACTGCCCAACGATTCAATTAGATGGCCCCCAGAGCTAATCGCCCATTTGGCGATTGACTTCAGATGAAGAGATGAGGAGAGGTCGCGACCTCAAGACCCCGCCGTCAATTTTTGTCTGCTCGAGACAGGTGAAACTACTTCGACATGTAGCCATCACTCGGAGATGCCCCATTTCATATCCGTAATCGGAAGTCTGATATTCAGAAATTCAGAACTGCAGAACTTCACAAATCCCCTTTGAAGATGGCCAATATTCTGTTTCAATTTTCTGCGAATTTTTGGCCAAATAACTTTTCCCCACTCTGCCAGTGACAGGCTTTCCCCCACACACACACACACATACACACTCGCAAAATTTCGGGGAAAGTGGAGCCAAAGCATTCGGAGAAAACCATCCGCATTGAAAATGCTTTGCGGCCATGTCAAAAACATCCGCCAAGTGCAATCGAACGGAGAGCCAAAGGTAATTGTAATTAATTTGCTAGAGCCACTGAAACCGAAAATGAAAATGAAACTGATTCTGAAACTCGATGGCCAACAAAAGCTATCCAATTGATGTCTGCATAAAATTCCGATTCCCGGCTTGTTGGCTTTAATTCGACAAAGTCTATTCGGTTTTTTATTTTTGGCCGAAAACCAAATAGAAACTATCTGGGGATTGGTTCCGTGAAATACCAAGAGTAAATCGTGTGGGTGTTCGTTAGCCAAAACTGAGTGCACAGGAAGATAAACATCGATTCGGAGCTGAGGCACTTAGGTAATTGAAGTATTTTAAACAAAAAATGGCTTGGAATATGGATTGGTTTTTTATTTGATAAGTCTGTCCATTTTTAAAATTGAACGTGTGTAGCTTAAAAAAGGAAATATGTCTTATGTTTATTGGCGGTTCTGTTTTTTTAAACAATTTTATAAAGAATAATTTTTTTAACATTGCATTCTATATAGGATTTAATTCTATAGGACAATACTACATATATATAAATTGAAATACTTTTGTAAAAAAAAGAGTGATAACTGGTTTTTATAATATACTAATATTAAAATTTTAATAGCCTCGAAATCGTTTTACAGAAAAAAATAAAGAGGTTGTAAAATATCTGGTCTTGTACCACAACTTGCCAAAGTATCTTATAAATATAAATATAAATAAAACTATTTCATAACTTAAAATAATTTCTCTTTAGAATTTCAACCAAATCTCAATCTTATATACATAAATACCTTTAAATAAAAATCTTATAAAAACAAATACTATTTCATAATTTAAAATAACTTATCTAATAAATTTAAACAAAATCTGAATTATATAAACATTGAGACCTTTACATAAAAATCTTCTAAATACAAAAAGTATATCACAATTTAAAATAAATGCATTAATACCTTTAAATAAAAATTTTATGAATACAAAAACTATTTCATAATTAAATATACCTTATCTATATACTTTCAACAAAATCTCTATCTTGTATTCATTAATACCTCAAAACAAAAGTCCTATAAACACAAAAAGTATTTAAGAATTTTAAATAACTTCTCAATCGAGTTTCAACAAAATTTTAAATGAAAACCTGGCGTCGCCCTAAAGTATATTCACAACTTTATTTCGTTAAATTTGCGGCAGAGCAGGGGGCTATTTTAGATCCTTGATCCAGAAAACATGTCCTAGTAGGCGTCCCGCTGGCGAAGTCGTCGATTGCGATCCTTTTTGTCTAGATAGGTGGTCAGTGATAGCTTGTTGGGCACAGTGACAAGAACGGGGAGCAGTTGGTGACATCGCTGCACCAGGCTGCGCAGTCTTTTGGCCGTATTATAATCCAGAATGATGATGCCAATATTGGACCGCCTGTAAATCGACTGGAAGAACTGCTCGAGATCCTCCTGCGCAGTTTCTGTTGGATTGAAAATGAGTTAGTTGCTGTTAATCGATGGAACACCCACCGATTTCCACCATCATATAGTTGCGGAACCTGTCCTTTTGATAACCAATGCCAGCCAGAAGAAAGCCCAGTGTAACCTCCTGAAAGCGATGGTAAAAATAAAGTTGGGTGGCTAAAATCAGTTGGTAGTCCTGCACCCACGGGATCAGCCATGATCGCAATTCGCAGGACATTCGGATCGTCCACAAACGTATAAGCTTGCATATCGCTATCGCTTAAGTCACTTTCGCTACCCGACTTATCGCCCTCCTCGGACATCCTATCCACTCCCTTCTTTTGCACACTCTTTTTCCGATTGGACGCCATTTTTCTCTGCTTCCTGGAAAATCTGATCCCCCTGACTCTGCTGAAAAAAGAAAACAATGGGACAGAAAATTAACAGATGTAGGGATCAACATAGGAGCATTACTACCTTTTTCTAAAATAAAATATAGGTATACATAAATCAAAAAATGTATAAAATTATTAAGAAACTTAAGTAAAAAGTCACTAAATTTGAAAATTAAAGCACATACCTTTGTGCAGTTTATTCCAATCATTTAAGTCTCTAATATTTTCAGCTGCAATAAGAGACTAATTCTGCATCTTCCTATATAATCAAATATAAGATAAATAAACAAATAAAATAATAATTTATTGCCAAATTAAAATTTTTCTTATATACTCTGAGCAACGATTTCCCAAGAATTCGCGTAGCCATGGATAACCAATAAATAAGGTTTTCATCTAAAAGTTTAAAAATCACGGTCCAAAACGAAACCACTTTTCTCTTGTATTCGTTGGTCCTTTGTAAAAATCCTTCTCGATAAAAAACGGTTTCTAAACACTTAAGATACCTGCTTTAAATGTATGGTTACTTAGATCCAGAAAAAATATGTATTACCCCAAGTCAAACTCAGTTCCCAAGTGTCTTACACTTTCAAAAATTTTACGAAAAGTATGCTGTGACTTCACCGTTTTCCCATTTGCCTAGGCTGTGAACATTTCAGGCTCATTCTAACAACAGCATCCGTACAGTCTAGTACTTTTAAATTTTTGTGTGTTTGAGTAACAAAATTTTCAAGAGTATTTTTGTAACTTTTATTTCGATAACATTTTTCAACGCAAATATATTTTCGGTTACCAAATTTCTGCTTCACAATGCCAATGGATCCGCTCACCTGCAATGATGCCGGCGAAACTGTTCGTTATATCGAGTTCACGGCCATTAAATTCGTGTTACCCATGGTCACAAATGCAGCCCTATATCGTTATTTTACCATCATCCAAAATCAAAACATGGATATTCATGTGAATAAATGGCGCTTGGCCGAGTACTACCCTTTAAATCCTAACGACCCAGAATATGAGACAAAAGTGGTTTCCCGAGATTTCGAGAACTGGGAGTTTGTCGCTTTCGTCCCCGTCAAAGACGCAAAGAACTTGATGAGAAATGGTGAAGTGATCAAGTTTATGTTTTGGAGAGCGAAAATTAACTTTTGGCCCAGATATGATCCACCTGGATTTTGGTTTGTAGACCGCCGAGTTGGAAACGCTTGATTTGATGCGGAGAGATTACAGAGAGCGGTTTATTTGGCACGTTTTTCAAAAATTTTCAATAATCGAATACGATCTGAACGTCAGCGGTTCATACACGCTTAATAATAAAAGGAAACAACTTATTTCTCTTTATATTTTACGGTTTTACATTTTGGGTGCTCAGTTTCGGGCTCTTTGGGACCAGAGTCAAGAAAATTGGAACTGAAGTTGAAAATTAAGACACTTATTTCAATCATATGATCCTGTAATATTTTCAGCTGCCTCTAATTGCGGTTCTGGTTCAATAATTCAATAAATAAATTAAAAGTAAGATAAATTAAAACAAAATAATCTGCCATCGCTGCCCGATTTATTGCAATATTTTCTCTGTCTATGCTTAAAAATAAAATATTTGGAAATAACAAATATAATTAAAGAATTTCCGTAACCCCGACTGGCTTTGAAAATATAAATGTCAAACGTCCAACATGAATTATGAAATTTGTGAAGAAATTAATTTTAACTTATTCCCAATGAATATTTCTCAAGAATTCGCTTGACCACGAATAACCAATATATAAGGTTTTCATCGAAGACTTAAAAAATCGCGGTCCAAGAAGGACGCATTTTAGTGTTATAAACACTTTCCAATTTGTAAAAATCCTCTTTGATGGACCATAGTTTCTTGAGACTTAGGATTCCTGCTCTGGATCTTAAAGAAATAGGGGTTCTGTAATCTGGAATCGAACCCAAGGAGTTGGAGGTCAAAAGGATGAACTTTTGAGGATGTTTGCCTTTACTAATGAGTTTTCGATATATTAAATTCGGGCAGCTTAAGTCGTAAGCCCCCTGATTTAATCTCCATTCCAGCGAGATGGCTCACATTGTGCAGCCTTCATAAAAAACCAAATTAGTTCTTATTTTGCATTTTATTCTAATTATTCATTTTGGGCGCTTGGCTTCTGGTTCTCTAAGGCCAAATGAAGCCTGAAATGGAAATTCAATTATGACATGAGCTCATATGTTTGGAAACTGTGTGTGCGTCAAGGACATTTTCTGGAAAATTGTAAATGTGTCTTTAAGAGACTTGTTGCCCTGGGAAAATGCCTATATTAGCATCTTGATATTCAGTGCATTTGGGCTTATAATTACTCAATAAACTGGCAAGCCGTAAGCCCAAGTAATGCATTTATTTCACTTAATTTGTCGGTGTTGATGTGATTGGCAGGAGCTTAGCCCCTTTCCCAGACACACTGTCAACAATGGCGAAGTGAAGTGAACGGACTTAATGGACTTAAGTCCCCTTTTGCCTGAAATGGCATAAGTCCCTCTCAATGGGCCAAAGCACACACACCGCTCCGGCTTAAACTTAAACTGAAACTTAAATGCCCTGGGAAATACATACACTTGTATGCAAATCCCTGGCATGTCCGACAATCGGCGAATTATTGCGTTAGTAGTGAATAATGCGTTAACAACGACAGGGCCAAATCCGCTTGAATGTGTGTATCTCTATGTTCGATGCGAGCGAGGAATCCCAAAGATATGTGCAGTTGGTTTGGCCCGGCAAACGCAAAAATGCCACATTCTCCGGATATTTCCAGGCTGCATGTCCGAATGGCAGCCATCCCGGCCAGAAATTCAAGCAGAAATCAAAACTTCATTGATTTTGCTTGGATCGCAAGTGCAAACAGGGGAAATGGAATTTTGTTGATTTTTGGGATTTGGCTATCTATTTAAAGCACTGACACGTCACATTGGCATGCAAAACAAGAAGTACTTAGATTTAAATAAACAATATGCCTTTTAATCTATTTTTAAAAGGTATAAACACAATGAATATCTTTGGGAGATTTGTTTACAAATAAATTTGCATATATTATAAAATATAAAAGAGTACCCAAAACACATTTTAAAAATATTCCAATGTTTTAAAAGCAAGTACTTTAATTTAAAATGAAACAACATGAAGAAATGCTTACAAAAAGAATTGTATACATTATAATGGAGTTTAAAAAAATCTATATACTATTATTTTTTAGGAGCACTTTACTAATATTGAAAAATATTAATAAAAATATATATATCTATAAAATAGATTATAACCTATCTCAAATTTATTTAAGCCCAGGATGAAAACTTGGCATGCGAAACTAAGAACAGTGAAGATAATTAGGACATTTACTAACAAATAGCATTGCATAAAATATTATTAAAATTTTTTTGGAGCAATCTGTTAATAGAGAATAAAATATAATTTAAAAATGCATATATCTATATTTTTTTTAAGGCGTTTAAAAATATCTGCATTTCTTATTTGTTATTAGATATATTTAGTTTATCTCTCCAAATTATATCTTACAGTGGCTTGAAGAAAATGTAGTCTTAATAGCATTAAATAACACAAAATGATTTGCAAAATATTTACTAGACTTTCAGTTATATAAAAATCTCTTCTTCTGATATTTATATTTGAGGGATTTCAATACGAACCAGATTTGTGATTTGAAATCAAAGAGACATTTTCATTTTATCATTCGAAATTGTATATTGAAGAGGGTTCCAAAGAATGTAGTTTTTAACTTATGGCATTTAATAACCCAAAACTTTTTGCAAACTATTTGCTAGAAATTCAGTTATATTAAAATCTCTTCTTCTGAGATTCATTTTTGAGGAACTTCAACACCAACCAAAGATTTTTCGCTAAGTGATTTCAAATCAAAGAGACTTCTGTGGTCCGCCGTGCACTTATTTATTTACTGCACTTTTTATCGCGCACTTTCTTGGCCGGCAATCGCTTTGTTTTCGAGTCCACGGCTGATTGGAACGAGGAATTCTCATTAAGGACATGTCTGCGGTTTACGGCGAGTCCTTGGCCACAGGAAAAGTTAAGCCTGCCCCGCAGACACACAAACACACAGATACAGTGCAGCATCTGCACTGCACACTGGTGTCCTTGCAGCAAGGCTCATCCCCCCCCCTGCCTCATCCGCCCACAATGGCAGTGCAGCTTTAATAACAGCACAAATTGCGTAAGCCGCCAAAAACCATTAATAACTTTTCGTGCACCTGCAAATGGCGAGATCGCGGTGGGTTTTTTGCCTTTTTTCCCACGGCCAACGGTGCGTATGCGTGATATGGCAGCAGGAACAGCAGGAGCAGCAGCTGTTGGCCATTTCCCTTTCCCTGGTGGGCTGCCTTTTAATTATTGATTCTGGCTGCCATTGAAGTGATTAATATTTTCCGAGCAGCCAAAACGTGGCCGCAGGACATTCGGACCGTCATCTGTGAGCTCCGGACTTCGGACTCTGGACTCCAAGGACTCCTGTACTTTAGACTCCTGGAATCGCCATCGCAATTGGACTCGAATTCGCACTGGACCACTGTGGCCAGGGGCTTCCCAAAGCGATTGCCACTGATTGTTTTATTTCGCTCCATAATTGCATTTTCTTGTCACGGCCATGTGTGACTGTGTGTGTGTGTGTGTGTGTGTGTATCTGTGTGAGTGCGGCAATACAAGCGCACATTTGCGCAAATTTGCCCAGAGAGTTGGACCCACATTTACAGTCCTTCCATCTGAGTTGTTAAGCGTCTGTCAGTGGGGAAAACAGGTTAAATAATTAAAAGCGAACATGTTCAGTGCATTTGAGAGCAGGCGAAATGGTCGAACTAGCATTTTACATTACTGCACAACACTGGAAGCGAATTTAAAAATCAAAAAGCACACCTATGTACAGTTAATTGCAATCACTCATTTAAGTTGTAATATGTTTAATTGACTAATTCTGTTGCCCAACAAATAAATAGGAAAATAAAAAGAGGAAACAAGACCATGACTTCCT